AGTCTTACTAGGATCAGAGCTGGTCAGACATCGTAGATTGGATCATTGTTAGGATACCTGCCTTCTCTGATTCTGTAGGAGACATATTCTTCCCTCTTCCATTGATCTCAGGCTCAGTCATGTGACTTGCTTCCTGTTCCAAGCCAAGGCCTTCAGAGGCCTCCTGTGTTTTCCTTCCCCTTGGGTACTTGTGCCTTCCCCCGTAGATGTCCAAGCAAGGCTCTGGTTCCAGGGAAGGAGGCCCAGGAGTGGAGGTGTGCTGCATCATTGAGCCCAGCCAAGGGAAGTCCCCCGGGGCTGATGCGCGGACTTCTGAGCTAAGTGACTGCTTGTTTTACGCTTCGGGGCTTTTGTGGGTTTTTGTTAGACAGCATTTTGGGGCCATGGTTAGCTTATTCAGAAATTGGTACCTAAATGGGAGACTAATGTAACAGAGTCCAGAAATATGCAGCATAGGTTTGGAACTGGACAGTCAGGAAATTTAGAAGAGGTTGGAAAAATGGCCAGAAAAACAGTGACCTGGATGCATGTGGTGAAGAAATATTTGGTAGGATTACAGCCTATGCTAGTTTGGGAGGGAGAAAATGTTCCTATGAATTTGTGGAATTTGGCAGGCCAGTTTCCAGGCAGAAGATTGTCAACATGAGCTTTTTTGAGCCATAAATGATAAGGTACAGCAAGTGGAAGATGGGTGCAGAAAGGAACCGGCCAGTTTTAAGCAGGATTTGGAAAATGAAGTTATTTCTCATCTCCAGTCTCTCTAGCTACTGAGAGACCTTTAGCTTCAGATTTGGCTTGCGAGGGGGACAGATACAGAGTCCAGGCAGTTCCAGTGAAGGACAGCACCAGAGTAAAGACAAAGTCAAGGATGTGCCCTTGATTCTAGTGCTCTTTGTTTTCACGGTCCTGGAAAGGAATAAAGTGGCTCTCGACTATCCTTTCAGTGATAACAGGGTACCTAGAAACCTTCAGGGCATGGCCCCATGTAGCATGGTGTGACGTCCCAGTCACCTAACGTAGGATGAGATTTGTCACTGAAGGGACGTGGGTGGGGCTTTTGGCACAGAGTTGACTGGAATCAAATATGCCGAAGACCCACAATGTTTGAGAGAGCTGAGTGCGCAAATGCATGGACTCAGGGGGATGGAAGTAAAGGGTGGCAGGCTCCTAACTTCCTTCAGACAGGAAAAGGTTGAAGAGTTACTGTGTTCTCATGGAGGGCATGCTTCCCCATGCCCTCCTCAGAAGCTGAAGGGCTGAGCCAAAGGGAAGATGGCCTCAATTGAGGAAGCCAGAGCCGTGCAGCAAAATGAACTGGGGAACAATTCAAGAAACATTCCACCCAGCGGGAGGATCTGAAAATAGTTGCTCAGGAGGGTTTCAAATACTGTTCTGCAATGACCAAGATAGGAGAGGGGCATGCCACCACTGTACGTTGGAAATGTGCATGTACATGATGGGCTGAGGGCTTTTCTAGAAGAGCCCCATCCACGACAGGTGTCAATTGCAAGATCCTTGACTTTGAGCCTGACGATCAAGTGTATAGACTTCGGGGGGCCTGGGGTGAGTATATTCTACATGTGGGAGGGACATGCATCACAGTCTTTGAGGGCAGACTGTGGTGGATTATATATTGTTGAGAGATATTTACTCTCTCCTTCTCCTTTCCATGGAAGGGAAGCACTTGCCCACATCACTGCTGATGGGTTTGGCCAAGTGACTTGCTTTGACCAGTTCCACGGTTCAGAGAGGAGGCCTAAAGAGAATCCTCATTTTTCTGCTTATTCTCTTGTGCTTCAGCTGTCCCCACAAGAAGGCAATGGCCAGGCCAGCCTCCTGGCCCTACGAGGAAGAGGAGAGTCCCGTGGGGTTGTGCCCCAGCCAAGCTGATTGGATTAGCCCCTCCCCCAGTTGCCCAGCTCAGCCCAACCTAGATCAGCCAACCCTCAGTTGGCCCAGATTCAGAAGTTTCATAGATGTTCAGCATGCCGAAGCTTCCTGGATATTGGTATGCAGCATGACCTTGGCCATGGTTAGCTGACAGAGGCATGGAGCCATGATGGGCTTCTTAACGCTGTGACTCATTAAGTCTCAGTGCTGAACAATTTGTGGCCTCCCTCTGCCCTCAGAGCTGTTTCCAGAGACTTACCACGTGGTGAGACAGAGGAGAAACGCAGGCCTTCAAATAAGCTCGGAAGGAGGCAGACATAGGGCGCAGGCAGGCATGCTCCGTACCTCCTCCTGAGGGTGCCCTCAGCTAAGTGAACCTTCCTCACAGAAGAGTGAGGCCCCGGAGTATGACTCGGGCTATAGTCTTTCTAGCAGGAAACTACGGCCAGTCATACAGGGAAGACTTTGGGTGCTCAGCAGAAAGGCAAACTACTAAATTCTGTTTTCCTTGGGGATTTCCTCCTTTCCTCAGTCCACTTTGTCATATGCCGTCAAACCGAACGCCCTCTACGTAGCTTTGGCTCCGCACTCTCTGAGCTGGGTGGCAAGCTTTATCTCATGGAGAGGAGGGAGTTCAGGGGCTCAGCATTTCTGGCCCCACAGAAGGGGACTTCTACCCCCTCTAACCTAGTCTTAGGCCCTCCCCGCTGTTCTTCTGTCCCAGAAACCATCCCAGTCCTTGTGCCCTGCTCACTGGCTCCCTGAGGTTCCCTAGAGTGGCCTGATCACTGCTAATGGTTGACTGTTGGCTTGCTAGATCTGGGCCCCCGCCTCTCCTGGCCCCGTGTACTTGCCAGGGCCACCTCCTAGGGCTCAGGCATATCCACCTGCCTGTCTTTTCTCCTTTTGCCAGCACCAGAGCACAAAGGTCTATCTTCTCCCCTGACCCCCACCCTGACTCAAGAGCACTCATCAGATTACCCATCAAAGAGGGAATCCCGACCTGAGGATTGCTTTGGGACGAGTGCTTGGGAATATACCCGGATCTGGTACACAAGGTTTTGGCAAAGCAACTTAGATCTTCAGATCAGCTTGCTGAAAGAATAGCCGGTTAGTAAATCATCAAACCCTGCCCACCCCTCACCCCCAGAGACAACAAATAAACAGCCACTAAATGTCTTCAGCATTAAACATTTCTCGGCGAAGGCGCGACAGTCAATTTTGACACTGTTGTGAAAAAATACAGCCTAGTTTCTGTTCAGATGCACCTAATTTACTGCTCAGGTTCTCATTAACTCCTGTCAAGGAAGAAGCAGATAGACAAAATAAATTATGAAAAAATTACTTTTTTAATGTACAAAAAGACTTATTTACAAGTTGAGCGTGTCATCTCAATTCATAGCATGTAGAAAAAGCTAAATATTTTGGAGATATAAATTTGGCTGGCTGATTCACCTACAGTATTTTCAGGGATGATGCCTTCTGTACAGTCTATACACAGGCTGGGAAAGGCTAGCAAAATCTTAGCTCAGGGAGCGAGTGAACACCGCCACTGAGCCCAGACCCTTGGAGGCGTCCCAGGGATGTTATCTGGCATTGATTTGGTCTATGGACCCTAACAAAACATCCGATGTACTGGAATGTGGACAGCCCAAGTAAGGCCCCGGTTGAGGCCAGGGTCACAGGATCAGGCTCATAGTGGTGCGGCTGTTTTCGGCAAGGTCGCCACAAATTCAACATGGGAATGGTGTGTGGTGTGTGTATGTGTGTGGTGTGGACGAGGCATCAAGTCACCCTCCAGTACGTTCAGGAACGATGTCTTCTGATGCCAGCTCCAAATGCCATTTCCGGGTGGGGCTGGGTTGCACTGAACAGGAAAATTCAGTGATGGTCCCTCAGGGTCCCAAGAATCAACCCTGTCACCCTCCCACCCCCACCAAAAACACCATGCAGGTCATCGTACTTTGCAAAATGAGCTGGAGGATGGAGGGAAGGAAATCGAGAAGATCCGGGGACCGCACACTGTGCCTCGGCACAGACCACTGGGCTGCGGGTGAGCGGACAACACAGCTTGGGAGCCTGGGCAGAGGCTGCTGTCAAGTCCTGGGCTTTTCCATGGTAGGGTCAGCGGACAGTGCACTGGAGAAACAGGATTGGGTAAACATACGACTTCCTTTTCTTATGAGGGAGCTTCAGGGTTGCCTGAGGCTGGGCCCCTGGCGTTCTCCCTCTTTCTCGAGGCCCCGTGCCAGGCTTTGGCTCACCTGGGTCCATCCCTAACCCAAAGCAGCTCCAGCAGCCCCGAGGTATTTAGAAGTAAGTGTTCTTTCCAGGAAGGGCTACATTCGACATGCATGAACACTGCAAACATGGTCTGGAGAAGCTGGGGCAGCTTGCCTTGCCCCAAGGACTACAATTTTTCTTTCTCTTCTCTGGCAATCCTTCCATACTTCATTCATTTGTATGCACTTGGACAGTCTGCCAGTCGCAAACTTGGCTTTGGGGGGTGGGCAGACGCGCCCGCTCTACCAAACATGGAATCAGGGTGTACTTCCAAATCATCCAGGTAAAAATCTTTTTTTCTTCCTCTGCAGCACGGGGGATGTTGGAGGCCTCAAGAAGTAAGCTTCATAGAATTCTTCTGCCTCGCCCGTATGGGAATGAGAAGCTTATCTTCCTGGATCAGAATATCCAGTATGGCTTTCAGATTCAAACCCAAATGTGGTTCCTTCCACCCTCTTTCCTCATGTACTTGGAAAGCCCTCAGCCAACGGAATCCCTCATTAGCCAAATGACAGAGGAAAAGACACCAGAACAATTTGGTCCCATAAACACCAAAGGCTGGGAAGCACTGTGCCAACGAGTTTTTCATTTCTACCTTGACTTTCTCATTGAGACTTTTCGCAGTGTTCCGAAAAATAACCCCAAAGAAAACCAGACAGGATACACACAAACTTGCTCTTAAAGCAACTGTGGTCTGAACTGGCCATTGGCAATACTCCCTCAGACTTATTTAATACTTTTTTTGGAAAAAGGCAAAATCGACAAGAGCCCCACGCTCTGGGAAATGATGGCTCCTCCGAGTCTGCTGAGCGCCCAGGGCTGAGACCTTAGGTCATCATGTTCAGGAATTTGCTCTCCTCGGCCAGGCTGGTGAGCATGGAGCTCATGTCCCCAACAGCCATGTTGCTGATGCCCGTGGGGATGGAAGGGAGAGTCAGGGAGTTCCGGGGGGTGGTGAGGCAGGAGGAGTTCTGGGAAAGGCTGTGGAGGAGGCTGGGACTCAGGGCGCCTGAAAGCAGGCTTGAGTGATCACCATCATCCATGATGGCATCGAAATCAATCTGGGGAGCCTCCAGGAGCTGGGAGTCCACTGTGCTGGACACCTGGTTGACCCCTGGCGAGGGCAAGGGCTGGGGCTGGATGCTGTCTGGGCAAGCCTGTGGCTGCGGTGGCTGGGGCCGCACAACCTGGCAGCCCACATGGTTCTCCAGGCCTCCGTTCTGTTCGTACATGTGGATCTGGCCATAGTAATAGAGCATGCTGTGATCCTGGGACCCGGCCACATCCTGTGGGGCTGGCTGAGGAGGCCGGGACACCACGTTGCCCATCGCTCCTTTGGGCACATCGGCCATCTCCTGGCTGGCTGACACAGTGGCCATGGCGTGGCTGGTGGCCCTGGCATAGGCCAGCTGCAGCCCAGCCCGCACCCCACGGTGGCAGCTGGCAGGGCTGGGCTCAGCAGGTGGTCGGGGTTGCACTAGGCCAAAGCTGGATCCGGCCACCCCGACAGCACCCTGCTGGGGCTCCATGAAGCCAGGCTGCTGGGAAGGCAGAAGGTGGGAGCCCTGGCGGTAGCCCTCCTGGCTCATGGGAGTCGCCAGGTGATGGCTTTGCTGTGGGTAGCTCTGGGTTGAGTGAAGGGGTGGCATCCCGGTCAGGTTGGAATTGGTGATTCCAAGTTCCCTGCGGTTGCTGCCCATCATGGCGGCTTCGGGAGCAACTTCCATTTGCTGGGGGAGCCCCAGGTGGACTGGCTTGGCCACCATGTTGCTGCAGGATGGGGGGTATGGGTTCAGGGCCCCACCCATGGTACTGGGGCTCAGCTGGGGGTGGGCTTGGCCATAGTTGTTGTGGGGGCTCCCGGTGGTGGTCATATTGGGACACGGAGCACCTGTCCCTGGCTGCCGCATATAATTTATCCTAGGCACAGAGGGGCCGCCCCCACAGGGCTGGAAGTGTGTCTGCGCACTGTCCAGGGCCCCGGGGCTCAGGGGCAGACCTTGAGGACCATAGCCTGTGTAGTGGCCGAAGGCTGGCTTCTGCTGCACCACAGCCAGGTTGCCCTGCGGGAAGGGCGAAGGCTTCCCCTGGCTGGCCAGTGTGTCCACAGTGCCGGAGCTCACCTCATTCCACTGCACAGGCATGCTGTTTTTGTTCAGGCTGGAGGGGGCCCCGTAGCCCAGCTGGCAGCCTCCCAGCCCCGGGGCAGAGGGGCCCACGTTGGAGTCGGCGGCCACCATCCTGCGCGGGCCATGCAGCCCGGGGCTGGGCAGTTTGGGGTTCTCGGAGAAGCAGGTGCTTTCCGGGGGGTAGGCCTGCGGGGGGCTGTCGTCCAGGGCCCCACCGGCGTGCGCCTTGATGTACTGCACCACGTCATCGGGCAGCACAAGGTCGTCCTCGGGCAGCACGAGGCCCATGTCGGGCCCTGCGCTGTCCGCGCCTGCCACCAAGGCCTCCATAGCCACGTGCTCACTAATGCTGGGCGGCCGGGGCGAGTAGGTGCTGCGGACCAGGCCGCCATCGGCGCTTGCGGGGCCTGACAGGCGGAGGCCTCGCCGGTCGGCGCAGGGCGGCAGCGGGGCCGGGTTCACATCATGGGCGCTGTGGAAGCGCTGCACCCGCGGCGCGGCCAGGGTGTCGGGCCGTCTCACTGGGTCGCTGGCCCGCCGCGCCCCACCGCCCGGCGCCTCGTGGGGGAAGGCGGGCGCAGGCCCCGCGTGGCCGTGGGCGGGCCCATCGCTGCCCCGCCGCGGTCCTAGCGGGCGCGGGCAGGGCACGGGCGGCGCCAGCCTGGTCCGCAGGCTCGCGCGCTCCAGGCCGGGTATCGGGGTCGGGGGCGGTCCGCCGGTGGCCGCGGCGTACTTGGCCCGCAGGCTGTACTGCTGCGCCGGAGTGAGGCTGAGAGGCCCCGCACCCCCGCCGCCCCCGACGCCGCTGCACTGGCTGGCCTCGCTCGAGCGCCGCGACGCGTCGGTGGAGATCGGGTCGTAGGAGTCGGCAGAGCTGGCGTTGTGGGGGCGGCCGGCGCCCAGGGGCGACGCCTCGCTGGAGCGGCGGCTGGAGAAGTAGGGAGAGATGCCGGAGGAGCGGCGGCTCACGGTGTAGGCGGAGCTGACTGTGCTGGTGGAGCTGTCGCGGCGCTCCTGCAGGTGGCTCAGCATGGTCACCTCGCTCGCGGACAGCTCCGACAAACGTGGGTTGGGCAGCAGCCCCGCTGGCCCGCCGCCGCTGATGTTTTCCAGGATGGAGCCTGCGGGAAAGGATAGGGGTCAGCGGCCGGGGCCAGGGCGCGGTGCTCTGCCGGCTTTGACCCAGCTCAGCCTGCGGCTGCTGGAGCCCTGTACAGAGCGTGGCACACAGCTGGCCCTCAACCGACGACCTCTAGATTAAAGGAGGGATGGGGAGCCCAGTAAGTGAACAAATGATGGTCCAGTGGGAGTCAGGAGGCCTGATTCCAATCTTAGCTGCCAGGGCCTGCCCGGCCCTTAATTCTCATTCTTTCTGATCCTTAGTTTCCCCAGCTGTGGGTAACACATGCCTCTGGGTAGGAAGAGGTTATTGAGAGCCGGGGAGGAGGAGCCTGGGAGGGCCCTGGCCACGCCCCTGCACCTTCACCATCTGGGCGTGGCTGTGGCCCGGCTGGCTTTCCAGCGGCTGAGTTGACCGAGGAGGCTGCTAATAGGCAGTCCCCCGATGCACACCCATGGAAGGGAGCAAAGGCCTCCGAGTGCCAAGGGTGTGTGTGTGTGTGTGTGTGTGTGTGTGTGTGTGTGTGTGTGTGTGCGGGTCTGCAGGCCCCACAGCAGCTGATGTCACAGGGAGCTCTGGGCCTTGAATGGCCTCACACTCCTGCCCTGATCAGTCCCTGGATGGGGGCCACCCCGGAAAAGGGTGACCTTGGGTGAGGCAGCTGTCTACAGCCCAGGCGATTTCTGTATGAGGCCAGGAGTTGAAGGCCATTTGCCAGCAGTTCCTGCAACAGCTGGGGCAACAAAGCCTCCCTTCAAGGGACACCTGGGTGGTGCGTCACAGTGTCCACCACGCTGGCCGTGGGTCCAGCTAACTGTCTGGCACAGAGTCGGCACTCAGGAAATGTTCCTGAGGGCACCTTGGTTCTTGAAGCCTCGCCAGCACCTCCTGAGACTGACTTTATGCAGAAGTCCCTGTTCTTCCCCAGCTGACGTGCTGTCTCTCTCCTCTGCCCAGCCCCAGCCCCAGCCCGAGCTCTGTCCTCGCTCCCTGGCTCCTTCCCCGGTCCAGTGTGCTTCTCACAGTATGGCCTTCTAACCACAGGGGCTGGGATTATAGTACTCTCCTCCCTAGGGCCTTGGCCACAGTGCCCAGAGCAGAAGCGCCGTAGAGCTGGAAGAGTATGGGCTTTGGGGCCACTTGGGCCTGCCCTTGAGCTGAGTGGGGCACTCTCCCCTCTCCAAGCCTCACTTTTTTTCATCTGTGCAATGGGCTGGTGAGATCTATTCTATTGTGGGCATCCGGTGAGATGACATGGTGCTCAATGGAGGTGAACCTACCTGGTGCTTGGCCCAGGCCCTGTCCCGCCCCTGCCCACACACCCGGGGCCCCCTCTCACCACTTCCTGGGAGGGGAGGCAGCTTGGTGTTCCGGGTGTGTGGAGCTGGCCCAGCCCAGGAGCAGGAATCCTTGAGCGACTTAAGCTTCTCCTTCTTGAGCTGCTCGAACCGGTGCATGGCCGTCATATGTTTGCGCAGCTGCAAGCCACCAGCAGAGGGAGCGGCCAGGGCTGAGGCATCGGCCCCCGGGGGCGTGTCATCCAGAGCCGTCAGGTCGCCCAGGCTCCCGGGCCCTGTCCCCGGCATCTCCACGCCGCTGTCATTGTTGGGGGCACTGTCCAGGGGAGAGGGCTCACTGCTGCAGGACGACTGGGCCCCGGGGCTGGACTGACACAGCTATGGGGTGGGAGGGTGTGAGAAGACATAGACTCAGAGGGTGCGAGAATCCCCCTGGCCCTCTCCCATATGTGCACACACGCTGTGCCCTTGCACACCTGGGAAGGAGGCTGCCATGCAGAGAGCTTCTGAGCGTCACTGTCTGTCTGCAGCAGGTGGCCCAGCCACCTCACTTCACCGAACCTCAGCTCCCCCAATTAGAAGAGGCACCTGAGCTGTCTCTGGGACAGGGTCAGTGGCTGGATGGAAAGCCTCCGGTAGGCAGAAGGCACCTGAGAATGGACAGCCCCACATTTTCCTGCCTCCCGCTCCTTGGTTGTCTGGGCCAGCATCTGGGCCAGAGCTCTGCATGCTGAGCTTTCAGTGTGTGGGGACACTTGGGGTCTGTGCCCCACAGAGGCAGCCACTGCTGCGTGAAGTTGACATCCAAGAGGGTGCTCAGCGTTCCCAACAACAGGGACATGCTGTGTGATGGAACAAGGAGCTGTGGGGCCTGTTGACCTGGTGCCTTCTCAACAGGCCAGAGGCAGGTTATTGGAAAGGGCCAGGAAGACCAGGGAGTGTGGACCTGCTGGACACAAGCCCTTGACTGACGGGCCACTCTGAACCAGTCTCCACTCTGGTCAATGCAGAGGGGGGCTCGTGTGTACAACACAGGACTCCACACAACCCGGGCTGCCTCCACTGGGACCTGGGCTCTAAGCCCAGCTGAGGCTCACTTCAGATGTAGCACCTGTGGGCTCATTCCCAGGCCAGATGCTCCCTAATTCCAGAATTTTCTAGAATTTTTGGTGACAGTGCTCCCTTCTGCCCATGGCAAGACCTGCATTTCTCACGTTGGCACTCAAGACCCTCCATTGGCTGATCCTCCCCTCCTCTGTGCCCTGAACTTGCCCCTCCACTCAGCCCTGTCCCTTGGGGAGGTTCCGTCCCCATGGTTCGCTCCTGTATCTGCCAGCCTGACTCCTGCCTCCAGCCTTTATCTCTCCTGGGGGTTCTACCTGCAGTGCCTGACGCCCACCGACCCAAACCCATCTTACTAGGTTCCCGAGGGGCCTGGACTGCCCGATCAGCCTGCGCCCAAGCAGCAGGCTGGGACCAATACCCCAGCCCGCCCTCAGCACGCCAGCCCGCCCACACCCCGGCCAGGCTTCCCTGCTCACCTCAGTACCGTCTATCCTTAGGGGAGGTACAGTCGAGAGAAAGAGGTGGAAACAAAGAACAGATGGTTAGAACAAAAGGAGTGGAGGCCACAGGGGCAAGGACACAGAGACAGGACAGAGGGAAGGGGACCAACTGTAGCGCTTGCATGCTGGTTGGAAAGGCAAACCCCAGGAACCACCCACAGACTGACCATGTGGGGCCAGGCATCCCCGTGGCCCACAGCCCTGCCTAGAACTACGGGACCTGGCATAAGACAGGTTCTATAAGAGGCCCAAGGTCGTGAAGGGAGGAAAGTTGAGCTGGAGAGAGGAGGATGTTGTCGTGCGCTTTGAAGAGGGGATCCCGAGACAGAGCCCACAGCTGCAGTTGGGGCTCTGGGCCCTTGTGCTGCTGGGCTTGATCTCCTGGGGGCGGGAGGCATGCACTGGGGCCTACACTGCCCTGCTCTGCTTACCCCGGAGCTCTCGGTCTTGATGGCTTTGACGTGTAGGCAGTCCTCCATGGCCTGGCTGGTGCTGCTGGCCTCGGCACTCTCCTCAGAGCCCCGGCCACCGGGCTCAGCACTGGCCTCATTGTCCCCGTTCTCCTTGAGCAGGGGGGCACGGAGGTGCACATCGTTGCGCTGCTTCTTGGTGACGTGAGCGTCGGGGCCATGTACCGTTTTCACGTGCTTCCTGAGAGAGCTGGGGTCTGTGTATCGCTTGGTACAGCCTGGGATCTTGCAGATATAGGGTTTCTGGGAAGAGAAGCAGGCATGTGTTATGAGACTCTGAGTGAGAGCACTCCCCATTCTCCTGAAGCCATGCGATGTCCTTTGGCTGGTATAGTCAGAAGGTGCTGGATGGAGCCAGGCCAGCCCCAGGCCTGCAGGAGTTCAGCCACATTAGTCTGATCTGCCATCTTTGCATGTGGGTAAGTGCATAGCTGAGGAAGCCCTCATCACAAGCTGGGGACACAGATCAGAGACCAGGGAGGGGGTCGGGGACACGAAGTTTGGTGTGATTGCAATGCCACCTCCCTGCAGATCAGGGCACTGGAATTTTCTATATCAGTAGGAGTGTATTATGGGAGATAGGGTTAACACCCCGATCTCTCTGATGAAGAAAACAAGTTCATAGAGGCAAAGAAACTGGTTCAAAGTCACTCAAGAATGGGATGAAAACCCAGGGTTTCTGAACCTCAGTACTGAGTACACACACACACACACACACACACACCCCACATCTACATGTAGACACACTCCCTAGTACCCCTCCACACACATTCACACATACACACATGTCCATGCATACACACCACACACACACACACACACACACACATGCACATGTGCACAAGTGCACAAACACGCACACATGTCCTACAAATACGCATTCACACAGACCCACATAATACATACACACGCACATCCACATCCACACAAACATCCACACACATACATAAACACACCCCTTTCCAAGGCTAACTCTTGTCTGTAGAGACCCTGGGGGGCTTAGATTCCTTAGGGAATGCCTCTGATTTCTTACAAGCATTGGAGGAAATCCTCTTGGGATCCAAAACGTATCTAAGTTTTTAGAAATGTTCCTTCCTGAGTCTACCCGAGCAAAAGCAGTTGAGCGTCTTGGCCTGGACTGGGAGGCCGGTACAGTGGACTTTTCACCCTGGGCTCTGTCAGTCCTGCCAGGGCGTCTGGCTACCTGGGAGGGAGACAAAGGCTGCTCTGTGGCTTATCAGTGAGGGGCTGACAGCTACGATAGGTCAGACAGCAGCAGCAGCTGTAGCACGTCATTGCCAGCTGCTCAGGGTGGAGGGGCAGGGCCCTGCCGATCCGTCCTGAACTCAGATAGTAGGCTGGGGTGGGGACTAGGGGCATCAGACACCTAGCTACTTGACAGCCTACTAGAAGCCATGGGGTGGTGCATTTACACACGCGTCAGAGGGGCCCCACGTGCACACGCTGTGCACACCCTGGCGGGGTACCTCGTTGGAGTGGGTGCGGTTCTGGTGCTTGGCGCGGTCGGAGGCATTGGAGAAGGCCTTGTTGCAACCCTCGTGCTCGCACACGTACGGTTTCTCCCCAGTGTGGGAACGCAGGTGCGTCTTCAGGTTCTCCAGGCGAGAGTAGGCCTTTGAGCATCCCTCGAACTGGGAAGAGGTGGGTTCGGTCAGTGAGGGTGCCCCAGACCCAACGCAGGGATCCCAACCTCAGGGGCTGGTCTGCGGCCTCCTCCCCAGATCCGTCCCCCCACACTCCACTGGTGCACCCAGGATTTTAACAATATCCACCCTGCTTTCTGATGATAAAATGACACAAGACTACTCTAGAACATTTGTGAAGGACAGAAAAGTGCAAAAAGAGAAACGAAAACCATTGGCTGCCAGGGATAGCCACTGCCGACATCCAGGTAAGTCTCTCTCTGGGGACTTGGCAGTTCATCCTGAATGTTCAAATCCCAAGTGGAAACATATCAGGTATTTTGTTACATACTCTGTTTGTTAAAGTCAACCGCACATGCTGAGAATCTTCCCGTTATCATTAAAAACTCTTTGAAAATACTATTTTTAACTGTTTCCAGTGCCACTCCCTGATTAGAATAGTTGTGTTAAAAGGCACTGAAAATAAAATCCAGGGGCCCCTGGATGGCTCAGTCAGTTAAGTGTCTGACTCTTGATCTCAGCTCAGATCTTGATCTGAGGATCTTGAGTTCAAGCCCCATGTTGGGCTCCACGCTGGACTTGGAGCCTACTAAGATAAAATAAAATCCAGTGTGCTCCAAATCCTTGAGTGAGTTGGCCAACCTCACCTTTGTTCTGGTCATGCTGGGCCCCTTTCAGTTCCTTGACCCCACTAAGTTCTTCTCAGTGTGGGGCCTTTGCACACACTGCCCCTGTCTACCGGGGTCCTGGCCTGGTTCACTCCCTCTGAATCTCTTATGGTATTTCCTCTAGAAGAATTTCTCTGATTTTCTTAATCATAAGACTATCCTTTTTCTCTTTATATTCCCTACCGCAATTTATAATCTTTGTCATTTTGTTATCTGGCCTTCCCATTAGGATACCAGCTCCAAGAGAACAGGTATCTTCTAGATCTTGTTCATTTTAGTTCCTAGTAGTTAATATCTGATGAAAAAAAAATTTTTGGCACTCAAGAAGCATTTTTGGAAAGGAAGGAAAGAAGGAGGGAGGGAGCAAGAGAGAGTGGCAGAGAGGGAGGAAGGAAGGGAGGATGGATTATTGTAGGAGGTTCTGAACCTATTTCCAAAATAGTGCAATAGCATCTAATGTTCCTATGAAAACTGCCCTTAGAATAACACATAAACCCTAGTAGGAACTGGGTTATTATGTATCTTCACATCTTCCCCTTTATTCCTGACCAGTGATTGGGTATATTTGGTACATTGATCTGTTTCTACAATACACAGTTTGTACCACAGGGCTAAGGTTTGCTAGCACTCAGAATGTTACAAAAATAACTTGCTGCAAAGGACCCAGAAGAGCCAAAATAATCTTGCAAAAGGAGGACAAATCTGGAGGACTGAGACTTCCCAAATTCAAAATTTACTACAGAACTACAGTAATCAAGACTGTGGGTGGTGCTATAAGGACAGACATAGAGATCAACAGACCAGAAGTGAGAGTTTAGAAATAAACTCATATATAAGGGTCCAATGATTTTTGAGAAGGGCATTAAGGCCATTCAATGGGGAAAAGAACAGTCTCTTCAACAAATGGGATCAGGACACCTGGACAGCCACATGCAAAAAGAATGAAGCTGGACCCGTACCTCACACCATATACCCAAATGGACTCAAGATGGATTCAAGACCTAAATGGTAGAGCTACCTTATAAAACTATATATTTATATTTATATTTATTTATACATTTATAATATATATTTATACATAAGTATATATTTATGTAAATAAGACTATATATTTATAAACGGTAAAACTCACATAAGAAAACATAGGGATATATTTTTGTGACCTTGGATTAGGCAATGGCTTCTTAGATATGGCACCAAAAGCACAAAGAATTAAAAAACTGGATTTCATCAAAATTAAAAACTTTGGTGCTTCAAAGGAAACCATCAAGAAAATGAAAAGAAAATCCACAGAAATGGGAGAAAATACTGGAAAGTCATATATTTGACAAGGGTTTAGAACTACTACAACCCAACAATAGAAACAAATAACTCAATTTAAAAATGGGTGAAATATTTGAGTAGACATTTCTCCAAAGATGGTATACAAATGATCGATAAGCATATGAAAAGATGCTCAACATCACAGTCATTAGGGAATCACTAATCAAAATCACAATGAAATGCCACTTCATATCCCCTAAGATGAGTGTCATCAAAAGCAAGTGTTAGGAAGGATGTGGAGAAATCAGAACCCTCAGATAGTGCTAGTGGGAATATAAAATGGTGCAGCCTTTTTGGGAAGCAGTCTGGCTGGTCCTCCAAAAGTTGAACACAAGAGTTACCATATGCCCCAGCAATTCTACTCTAGGTACATACACAAGAGGATCGAAAACTCGTGTACTAATGTTCACAGCAGCATTTTTTATAACAGCCAACAAGTGAAAACAATGCAAATATCCGTCAACTTGGTAAATGGGTGAAAATACTAGGGTTTTTGTGTACAATGAACTGTTGTTTAGCCACAAACAGAAACGATGTAGATACATGCTACGATACAGATGAACCTTGAAAACTCTCTGAGTGAACAAAGCCAGACACAAATGCTGCCCATCGCGTGATTTTGTTTTAACGAATTGTCTGGAACAGGGCAATTCATAGAGATGGGGGAGCAGATTAGTGCTTGTTAGGGAGTAGAGGGAAAGAGGACAGGGAGTGACTGCAAATAGGTCTGGGTTTTCTTTTGGGGGTGATGACAATGTTCTGAAATTAGCTAGCGGTGATGGTTGCACAACTTAGTGAACATACGGAAAATCACTGACTTGTACATTTTTTTATTTTTTTATTTTTTTATTTTTTTAAATTTTTTTATTTTTTGACTTGTACATTTTTTTAAAGGGCGAATTTATGGCGTGAGAGTTTTATCTCGATTAAAAAAAAAACACTTGCCAACAAAGGTGGCATATTTTGTTGAATCCCAGTCACTACCAATTTTAAGACAGCCTGAATTCAGAGATATTAAAATGAGAGCAAAATGTCTATCAGAATTATAAGGTAATTCATGGAGAATTCCCAGAGGCTTTAGCTGCAGGCAGGTCAGGGCATCACTGGACTAGTGGTCCTTTTATTTTATTTTATTTTTTTAATATTTTATTTATTTGACAGAAAGAGAGAGATCACAAGTAGGCAGAGAGGCAGGCAGAGAGAGAGAGAGAGAGGGAAGCAGGCTCCCCGCTGAACAGAGAGCCCGACGCGGGGCTCGATCCCAAAACCCAGAGATCATGACCTGAGCCGAAGGCAGAGGCCCTAACCCACTGAGCCACCCAGGCGCCCCCTAGTGGTCCTTTTAAAGAGGGACCAGTCACTTGTGCTAAAAATAGGTCTCGCTAATCATAGTTACCAATTATGCTGAAACCACAAAGGAAAATGTCTAGAAGTTTTTATTTTTGTGTCCACTTTAAAAAAAAAAATTCAGGGCGACTGGGTGGCTCCGTTGCTTAAGCGTCTGCCTTCACTCAGGTATGATCCCAGGGTCCTGGGTCGAGTCCTGCTTCGGCTCCCTGCTCCTCGGGGAGTCTGCTTCTCCTTCTCCCTCTGCCTCCCCCCACCCCCGCCTCCAACCCTGCGCTTGTCCTCTCTTTATCTCAAATAAATAAAATCTTCAAAAAAATGAAAAGAAAAATAATTTAAAAATTCAACCAAAGGGATGTTGCTTCAGCAACTCGCCAGTAAAGTTTTCTCTGTGCAGGGCTGAACTGCAGGGGTATAGTCCCGCCGCGGGGTTCATGGCCACACAGTCACAACTACAGAGCCACCAGCACCTCCCCACTGCAGTTACCAAGATGCACCCACGCCTGGAGTCCATCAGAGGTCTGGGAGAGAAAGGTGACCAGCCTCAGGGCGGAACTCCCCAAGGGCAGAACTCCCAGGGCAGGAGCATACAGGACAACACGTTGTGGGGCCCAGATGATGCCATGGCCAGCCATGCCCAGCACTGCCCACATCAGCCCCAGGCGTTCGGCTGTCCTCTGTGGAGACCCAGGGGGTGGAGGGGAAGGGCTGCGCCTGAAGCGTGGAAACACCGCGGGAGGGGAGGGGGGGGCGGGGCACTGGAAGCTCCACTCACCGTACACTTGTGGGGCTTCTCGCCCGTGTGTCTGCGCATGTGCACGACGAGCATGTACTGCGCCTTGAATGGCTTCTGCTCCCGCGTGCAGGCCTGCCAGCGGCACACAAACTCCTTCTTCTCGCCGTGGATGTGCTCGTTGTTGATGTGCTGCCGGGAAGGATGGCGGTGAGCCCGGCCTCCCGCCCCTGCAGACCCCACCTCCTCTGTGCAGACACAACGCCCACTGCCTGACAAGACCACCGCCTGGGTGCCGGGCCCCACCTCCTCATCAGCTCTCATTAGCTGCCCCTAACTGCAGATCTACTGTGTGCTACTCGTCTCAGCTGTATTTCCCAATTAGTCAGTGGTCAAAGTGGCCATCTGTGATGGACAAGGGCATCCTGCTCACACCAGGCTGGGCTCCAGGCTCTGGTCAGGATGGTGATGCTCCTGGGCTGCAAACAGTAGGCACTAATGAACTGCAGCAAGGCAGACATGCCCACAGTTGGTGCATGTGAAGCTTCTCCCAACCTTGCCCCTATTGTCCCAGGAATTCCTGAATTTTTTTTTTTTTAAATCAAAATGGAAACATAAAGGTATCCTCATCTCTACTTCTGAGAGTAGCCTCTGAAAGGCCGGTTCCAGCACTTTTCACCGAGACCCAGATCTTATGTGGTCTAGGCAGGGCCTCGCAAGCAAGGGTAGTACCCTGATGCTGGGCTCTGGGCACGGTGCGAGGCTGCCCCTGACACACAATGGCCCAGGAAGGTACAGCAGGTCAGCCAAAGACTGCATGACTGATCTTGAGGCATGGCCTTGGGAGCCCTGCTTCCCGGGGCAGGTGGGGCCATAGGGGGAGAGCTGGGAAGTGCAAGGTCAAGAAGCTCTTCCTGGAGGTGGGGTCCATAGACACATCTCAGGTAGCACTGCCCTGGCCCAGGAATGCAGACTAACTTTCCTCCTTTCCCCAGTCCCTACACATATACCTTCCAGCATCTACCTCGGGCTCATCACACGTGTGCCACCTCCATTAGTTTCTCCTGTGATGTGGGACAAGGGGCCAAATTTCCCTTTCTGTCACAGGGAACACTGCAAGCTGCCCTTTGGATTAGTCACTTACTTTGCTTATTTAACTGAAGGCTGCCATACTCACTGGAGCAGGGGTATCACTACCTCTGAGCTTAGGATGTGTGGATATGTGTGGGGCCTCCGGACTTTTAGTCCTTAGGTTTTGAGGTTGCTTATCTATCTAGGGGAGTGAAAAAGAGGTGGTGAACCTCCTATGCTTCCTCTCCCTCCAGGGCATCTCTCTAAAGGCCACCAGGGAGCCTCCCTTTGCCCCATCCCTGTCCCATCCTTCCCCTTTCATCTCCCTCTTCGTTCAAGGTCCTGCGCTATCTGTGCGTGGATCAGGCTGGGCTTGCTTCCCCTTGGGGGACAGGAGGGCGGGACACTCTGGTCTTGGCCCGCCCCCTCTCCAGCCCCACCGCCTCTCTTGGCGTACCTTCCTGCTTCACCGCCCTCCCCCCTCCACCCCTCCAACGCAGTAGCCATTCACCACTTGCGGCTTCGAGCCCTTGAGAGGCGGATGGTCCCAACGGGGATGGGCTGTTTCTAAGATGGACAATTAAAAAAAAAAAAAGGAGGTAAGATACCCCAATAATTGTTTTATATTGATTACACGTCAAAATGATCATCTTTCAGATATATTGGGTGAAATACAATCTATTTTTTAAATGAATGTCACCTGTTTCCCTTGACCGTTTTTAAAACGTACTCCCGGGTTAATGTCAAGTTACACATGTGGTGGGCCTTTGTGGCTGGCGGCATCCTTCTACTGGACGGTGCTGCTGTCGATCTTGGCACGCTGCGGGGCTGCTGGGGAGAGCCCGGCCCAGAAAGACAGCAAGCCGCCTGGCCCACGCACCCTGAGAAACAGGCCCTGGCTGTTGTGCATACAAATGTCAGCGTTGGAGCGAGTAAACTCTACTGCGCTTTGAACTTCCAGGGAAATCTTATCATATTAGCCTCACTTTCCATTTTTAAAGCCTTTCAAATGATAAAAATGCTTCCTGACAATGCCTTTCATTTTTTTTTCTTATTGGTTTACTTAGCAACAAATTGTTAATAATCGACTGGGGGCTCTGGCTCGCCTGTGTGCCTGCCACTATCCATCTTCCCGGGGAGCAGAGAGAAAGACACAGCTGGGCCGAGGGGCTGGCTCTCTTCTCGTAGGGGCCTTCTTTTTCCGGGACCAGGCAGAGGTGCTCCCCGACACCTGCAGGGGCGGTCCCGGGCACAGGCAGAAGCCTGCAGCTAATGCTTCCTGCCCCTGATGCTTTTATTGGAGGTGTTCACTCCCTGCTCTTGGCACTCATCACTCATCACCAGGAACACCTCTCGTGTCTGTGTCTCCACCTCTGCCCGGCCCCCTCCCGGCCCCGCATGTGCTGTCCTCTCTTTCATCTAACCTGATCCATACTACAACTCGCAGCCCCAGTGGCCCCTCCTCCCTCTTGGACTCATTCACCCAAAGACGTGATGCAGGTTGAAGAATTATGCTCAAGTTCCAGGAGGGGTTAGAGTAACCCTGCTTCACGGTGCTACGTCAGCTCCAATGGGTTCGCTGTGAAATTCTGGCCTCCTACATGAAAATCGTTGTGGGGGGAGGGGATCCCCAAAGCAAAAGAAACCTCCAGCATTTGAGAGCAACTCTCATGACAGGAGGGAGTGGGTGGTGTCCTGAATGCCGAGTGCGCGGGGGTGGGGAGAAGCAAGCTTCCCTGTGGTGGCTTCTGGATGGGAACAGTGTGTGTATCTACCCTACCCAAAGATCGAGCTGCTGGTCTGGTGTGGGGCTCATCTTTACGGACTTTCAGTCCCCAAGAATTGTGTGTATCTGTGTGTGTGTGTGTGTGTGTGTGTGTGTGTGTGCAGGGTAGGGTGGGGGTTGGCTGGAAGGGTTATTCTTCAAGTCAATTTCTCTTCAATTTCATCTTCTGCATGGAGAAGAGAGACACTCAGGCTGGTATAGGAAACCAGGAGGAGGAAGTGGGAGGGAACCACCAGGTGTGAAAAGCCATCTGCTACGTGTTCACGTGGGCATCCCATCTAACCTTCACACCCTCGTGGGGGCAGACTTCACCTGCTATTACAGGAGAAAAAAACAGGCTCGTGAGGCTTAAGTGGTTCGGAACCACTCGGCTGACTGTGATGTAGCCAGCTTCGAAGCCTCTGCTCTTCCTGCTGTGGGTTACCCACCCCTCCAACTGCTATCATGTGAATGCTGTTGTAGAGAAATTCAGAGTGGGGACCAAGGGACACGACACAAAAAGAGCACCCAGGTCCCATGGCCTCTCTGGTGTCCTGCCCTGGCAGTATCTAGGCATTTTTAAGCAGTCTCCTCCTGATATGGTATTGATACCCCATCTGCACTTGCAGATACTAGGTCTCTGGGAATGGTCTCCCAGAAGAAGTTACTAATTCCTTCCTCCATGGGAGGAACTATGTCTTGGTTTCAGAGTCAGGCTTGTTATGATCTCACTGATGCTGGCTAATTTAACTGTTCTTAATTCCCTCTTTGCACTGGCTGCTAGGAAGCTCAAAAAAAAAAAAAGATATTTATGCAAATAACACTCCAGAGCACTTAGTTTTTAAAAAAAATACATTCTACTCCAGGCTTCATCTTCTTGTTCCTTTCTCCTGAATTTTCTCATTTACTTGTTTTTGTTTTTAATCTCTTTTATGACATCTGTATTTGTATGTGCACTTTTAGAAACAGGTGGGGCCCAGATAAATAATTACACCTCCCCCTTGCAGAGGCCATGGCCCAGGCATCTCCTGGAGCCATCTCCTCCAGCCCCTTCTCTCCAGCAGGGGGCCCAGAAGCTCTGGCTGCCGCAGCAGGCTGTGCGGCTGGAGGCTTACATGCACCAGCTGTTCCTGCGTGTCGTACTCCTTGGTGCAGTCCTCCCAGTGGCAGTTGGTCTCGTAGATGATCACCTCGGCCTCCTGCTTGCAGTCATCCCTGTCCAGGTCTTCCTTGAGGTCAGCCAGCTGCTCCTGGGGGAGGAGCAGAACACACACATGGTGAGCCGTGTTCAGCCATCTGCCCCCGATGAAAGGTCGCCACGGGCCCCAGGCAGTCTGTGGCGAGGGCCACACATGTTTGCATGCACTCGCACACACACGCAAGCACACACATATGCCCATGTATGCACTCAGCCTACTTCCGCAGCTGCCTCCCTCCTTCCTCTTATCCGCACAGCTGTCTTGGGGCCCCTCCTTCCTCTCTCCTGCTAGCTTATCATCACCAAAGGGTCCCATCACATCCTGGGTCAACTGACTTGGCAAGGAGAACAGGAGAAAAGAGGGCAGGGTCTTTTCCTTCTTTGGTTTGGTTTCCTCCGGGGGAGCTGAGGTGGGCCCCATGGGATCAGGGTGGGGGTGTTTTTATTTAGAGTGTGTACGAGGTCGGGTCCAGTGTGGAGGTAAGAGAACCAGCTGGCGTGCAGACAACTGACTCTCACATGACCCCCTCCTTCCAGGGACTCACAGCTCGCCTTGGTTCAGGCTCAGGGTAGAGTGAGCGAACTATGGCAAATTCTTCCCCCGCCCCTCTTCCCTACCACAGCCCCAAGACGTGTGGGTGTCTGTATTCATGCATTGCAGCCAGGAAAATGGGTTCAGGGAGAGGTCACCTTGCTCTCCGTAGAGCACAAAGTGACTTCGTGACAGCCTAGGTCTGCACTCAAGTCTCCCCATCAGGATGGGGCCCATGTGTGCCCCGTTCAAGGTGGCAAAGGAAAGCCCCACCCCCCGAGATAGGCCTTCACCCGATCACAGGTGCCCGGCATTCCTTTCAAAGAGCACAAAGCATGTCACGCCCCGAAGAACCAGAGACGGAGACTCTGTCCCACAGGGAGCCCCACACCAGCAGACACTGAGCTGGTCAGGGGCAGCCTCTTAGCAGGGGACATGGGGGCAGACTGCAGGTGGGGAGAGAAGGGGAGGCACAGACATGCCAGGCTGGGACGAAGGCCCAGTGAGGACCTCCACAGGATGTCGAGGACTCCCCGGTATTCCGTGGGCTCGCTAGGCAGGCTCAGAGCAAAGCTAGGCAAACAGGTAGTTGTTAGAATGAGCTGCATTCCATTTTACACTATCTATAAAACTGCTGGAATAGTCTGTCTTTCAGAAAAGCCTCTGGGGAAAACATTTAGAGCTGAGACTAAGGGGGACAACCTCTCTCCCCAGTCAGGAGCCACAGCCCCCACCTGCTCCAGAGACCACGCCTTAGCCTCATTACTACCGCTGAGCCCACTTCTGGGTGTGGGGAAATCAGCCTCACGGCTCCCTGGGCTAGCTGCAGACCCAGGCCCCTGACCGACCCACTGCCCACTAGAGCTGCAAAGGGCTCCTCTCAGAGGAGCTTCTGGTTGCTTCTCAGAGTGCTTTTCAATGAATGTACTTGCCTTGAAAAGGCAAATGATGACATGTGGTTTCCTAAGTCTGTGGGCGGGCATAGGGTCCACGTTATAAGGAAGGTGCAGGAGCACCCCTGCCCGGGACCTGTGGCCCTGGGGGGCTCTGCGGGGCTGTGGCCTCCTACACCCGCTCTGCATGGTCAGAAAAACCGCAAACAGACTTCTTATCTCATGAGCTGCATGTCCTGCTCGTCTTTAAGAAGACTCTCGAACAAGCTGCCAGATGGACCTGTGAGCGTGAGGTGGCCCAGGGGCTGCGGGTGTACTTGGGCCTCTAGAGGGAGCCAGCATCACCCTTGCCCACAGTTTGGAGGGCTTAAGCAGAGTGGGGACTCCTTATGCAGCACTGCCTGCTGCGGGGGAAACACGCCCATCTACCTTACAAATGAGCCAGGTCACTGAATCAGGACACTGAGCGACATGGTGACAACCTCGGGTGATACATGGCTTTCCTTTCACTGATGAGTCTGAGGGGCCAGGCCAGGCAGGAAGGCCGGCTTTGTGCCACCCTTCTGGGCAAGAGGGGTGGGGCAGAGGCTCCCGGGGGCTCAGCGCCTGTCCTCGCTGCTTTGGCGTGTCTGTCTCCCCTGGAGATGGGCCGTCCTCATCAATTTCACCGGCCCCGGATGACGGCCGACCTCGTGGAAACCATGCATCAAGCCGAGATGCCTCAGCGTCAGCGAGGGGAGAATTTGTCACCAGCTCCTCTGTTTGCCTGACAATAACAGGACCCGATATTTCATAAAAATTAAGTGCCCAGAGCGTGCCCGATGGTTTACAGGTTTGATAAAAGATGGTCTGGCAGATGTAGGGGAGATGGGGACGGAGGTCCCCTGCATCCTTGGTGTCAAAGCTGGTGATTGTGGAGTAACAGATGGAAACCAGGGCACGGCAAGAGGTCTGGGGAGGGGTGGGAGGCTCACCCGTGGGCTCAGCACTCACACCAAGCCCTTCCCCTGACAGGCCTTTGCTCCGAGAACTGGGCCTGTCTTGGCCTGTCTCAGAATGTCCGAAGAAGGGGTGGGATATCCCAAGGGACCTGCAAAGAGGTTTCAGCCCCGCAACAGACCAGTCTTGGGCTCCAGGTGGCTGTCTTCCTCACCTTCCTGCCAAGAAACATCCTCCCTCCCTTCCTTCCTTCCTCACCATGCCACTCACATGTGCATTGAGTCATTAGAAAATATTATTTCGGGGCACCTGGGTGGCTAGTCGATCAGGTCATGATCTCAGGGTCATGAGATTGAGCCCCGCGCTGGGCTCTGTGCTCAGCCTGCCCCTATCTCCCACATATACGTGTGTTCTCCCCTAAATAAATAAATAAAATCTTTAAAAAAGGAAAGAAAATATAATGTCATAGGGACTTAGTACCTGTCCCTGTGTAAACCCCGATGGCTTGGCGCCAAATCAGACACTTCTCCTGGGGGTCCACCCTCTCCGAAGCTTTACAGGGCAGTGCGGGCGACAGGCAAGATGGCCTAGAAGCTAGGCTGGGCTCCGGGCAGAATTGAGTTCTGTTCTCCAGGAGGGTCAGGAAAGGGTGTAGTGGCAGTGAGGGGGAGGGGATAGGGGAGTGAAGTTCCAGGGAGAAGGAGAGACGGGACGGGGCCACAAGCTAGCGTGTGTGACCGGGACTTGTGTGAGGGGCTGGGAGGAGATGGCTGCAGCCCCAGACATCCATTCTTCCATGTGACACATGTTTGATGAGCATATGATGTGCAGGCTGCCAGGGACCCAGCTCTGGTCCTTCCTGAGCTCACAGTGTATCCACCCTCTCTGGTTCACTCATTCACACAGACAGCGGTCCATTCATCCATTCGCCACCAGGGCTGAGGTCCCGGGTCCCCTGACCCAACGGGAGGGCAGCCAGGACAACCAGCAGGTTACCTGCGTCAGGGTCAATGGGGAGGCTGGCCGCAGGCCCTCGGCCTCTGTCTTGACCTTGCTGCGCTTATGAATGACGATGGGGTTGACCGTGCTGCTCACAGCCGACTCGCTGCTTGGCTTGTTCTGAGGGAGGAGTGCAGGAGAGCCCGTCACACAGGAGCAGGGCGAGGACACCCCAACTTCTGTTTGGGCTTTACCTCTGGGATCCTCCCCACGTTGACTGGGCCAACACTGGTGTTGGAAGTTTCAGAAGCTGGCTCCCCATTTGGTGGTTTGGCCAGGAGCACAGCTGGGGAGAGCCCAGAGCTCGGCCTTCCACCCCCCCCCACTTCCATGGGAATGGAAAAGACACTTTCTCTGGGAGATGCTGGGGATGATCACCCCTGTTCCAACAGTCTCAACCATTCAGCCCTCCGAAGCATGAGAGCAGGGGAAGCTTGGGGGCTGGGGAGAACAGGGCTGGGCCAGCCCAGGGAGCAAGAAAGAAGGGCCTAGTTCCTCAGGAGAAGGGGGCTAGATCGAGCAACCAGGGCGGGTGGTGACAAGAGCTATCAGCTTCTGTCTGGGGGCAGGTGCTAGGCGGCCGCCTAGAGCCTTGGGGTGGAGATGGAGGGCGTCTTGGAAAAGGGGTTCTTCTGGACAAGGTAGAGTCTTGCCTTCCTCCCAGAATGTGGTCACGTCTGTGCTGCGGCCTGCCAGGTGGCTGGCCTGTGCAGTTGCTCCACCTCAAGAACTGTCATCGTGAGTGCTAACCAGGGTCCACATGGGGCTCTGGGCCCACAAGCTCACGTAGGCTCACGAGGTGCCAGTGATGTGGCAGGCCCCGCTCAGCACGTTCATCAGCCCAGGCTGAAAGAGCTTTTGGCGAGTCAGGGTCCAAAACACAGTGGGACTGATTCCAAAGCCTATGCCTCTCCATTCTCCAACACTGTCTGTATAATTCCATTTCCTTGTCTGCAAAATGGGGCTTCTCCCCACCAAATACTACCTACTGTGTGTCAGAAACCATACCAGCATGCCCGCCCCATCAAAGGCTTGCTGGAAAGGGCAAATAAGATGGTTTTTTGTAAACTTAAGCTCAAAGACTAAACTGTACAGAGTACTCTCTCTGCCAGGCTCTGACTCCTAGCCTTTCTCTGTCTATACATTAAGTTGATTAGACCGGTGACTGCTGAACTTACTGGCTGGGTACTTGCCAAGGAAAAGGGAGGGTATTAGGAGCTAGCGCAGGTCTCCTGACCCCGTGTTCAGTCCTTTGGATCCCACGGCCTCTGCCCAGCAGACATCCCAGCAGCCAGACCTGTGCCCAGAGCCCTTCCACCAGCTCCCGGTGTGAGAGGGCAACCATCATCCCTCATAGGGTCCCAGGAGCCCGGCGACCCACCCTGTGCCCCCTATACCCATCTACCTGGGTGGCGTTGCTCAGACAGTTGCTGCTGCTGCTGAGCTGGGTGGGCGTGGCGTTGATAGAGGCGAGGGGCATGGGCTGCTGGGCCAGGAAGGTGGGCGAAGGCTGGATCAAGGGTGGAGTATGTCCAAAGGCAGATCCCAGGCCCCTCTGCTGGCTCAGGATCTGCTGGTAGGCCACCGGGTTGATGGGATGGGGAAAGGTAAAAGCAGGGCTGCAAAGAAGAGCAGACAAATCACGGCCTGGGCAGGGAGTGTGGCTCGTCTCATTGCCAGCCTGGCTCTACCTTGCTCAAGAGCCAGCAGTGGCTCCCCATTGCCTGCCATCTCAGACCTCCCCTTCTGCACTCACCAGTGGGCCCTGCCCCATGATGCAGGCTTCACTCCAGCAGGCTGGCCCCCGGAGGGGCCAGGCTCCATCTCCTCCCCGCATCCCGGCCTTTCCCTCCTCTGACACCTGGGATGCACCCCTGCATCATCATTGGGGACTATCTGAACACCATTGGGCCGCTGAGGCTGGTCCTGATGCCCCCTTGTCCAGGAAAGGTGCCCTGGGCCCTCTGGTTCACATGGTCCCCTCTCTTCTTTCACTTCTACTGCACTTCTAGACCCTCCCTGTTATCTGCTTATGGGCCACTCACTCCAGAACAGGAGACTAAGGGATAATGGTGACCTCCGGCCCTAAGCCATACATGACGGGTGGCTTGTGGCTTCCTCCTTGCTTTCTCCTTCATTGCTCACTCCGGGGGTGGGAGAGGGGAGCCAGTGCCATGGTGGGTAGATGCTCAAACAGCATTAGGGAGAGGACATCAGTACGAGAAATAAGGCTCCTGCCAATGGCCATGTGAATGAGCCTCCTTGACATGAGTTCAGTCAAAGTGGTAGGGTCTGAGTCCTAAAACAGCCTTGGCTGTATTGTGGGGGTGGGGGTGGGGACCCAAGGGTGAATGGTGCCGCAGAGGTTTTGGTGTGCCGTGCTGTGACCATGGTGGGAGGCCTGCTGCCAGCCCAGAGACCTGGCGGGAGCCAAAACAGTGTCACACCTTGCGGGGTCCCCAGTGCTGGCCAACAGCCGTGGCTTCCCCGTGATACCTATTGAAATACTGAGGAAGCCACCTTTGGTTCCATGATGGAATCTTCCATGCTAGGCCCAGGAAAGGTCACTTTTCACATTAGAAAGTGCGTTCGGGGGCCAAATGAGCATATGGACCCAGACTCAAACATCGGCGCATTTCAACATCCTCATTAGTGGTTCTGAATTCCTGAACCGGTTCAAGGGCGCTTATGCATAAATGCAAGGAGTACTGTCTTTCTCCTGGGGGATGAAGGCGTGGCCCTCCCAGCGTGGCCCCGCCCATGCCGTCCCCACCCCGCCTCCCAGTTCTCAGCCGCGCTGGCCGCTGGGGCCCACCTGAGGGTGCCTGCCGACAGGTGCCCGTAGGAGCCGCTGGCTGCAGAGCTGCTCCGGGAGTTGTTGATGTAGGCCACCAGCGAGTTGGGGGAGGTCCGGATCATCCGCTGCAGGTCCAGGCTGGCATCGGAGAGCGGGGAGATGGACAGCGCCCGCTTGCGGCTCAGGCGCGGCGTCACCCGCGGGCTGGAGAAACGCGACACTGTGGGGACAGCCAATCCCAGGCGTCACTGCGCTTGTAGGGGGACAGAATGGGGTGGGGGAGGGCGACTGGGAAGTGGGGGACGACGGGAAGAGCCTTTGAGGACTCCTAATGAGAACCTTCGGGGCTCCTGGGCAAGGGACCTAGCCTGTCTCCAACTGTTTGCTTCTCTGCAGAATGGGACTGATCCGCATGCGGTGTGGGGAGGTTGGGAGAAGCCCAGGTCAGGGCTTGGGTGACAGAATGCCCTCGCTGGACACAAATTAACGCCTTTACTCCCAGTTTTGTGGAGAACAGGGCTGGGTCCAGTGTCGAACAGCTTGGTGGCCTCTCGAGAAGCAAACCCACCCGTGAAACTAGCACCAGGTCAAGAAACGGCATGGCTGGCGCCCTTCCTGACCCACCCCGAGGGCAGCCCCAATCCTGGCTTCTGCAGTCACCTGAGGCTTCCGGAACCTGTCACCTTTAACACTCAGGATGCACAGGCACTCCCACCCCCTCCACAGGCTCTCACCCCTCACCCCTCAAGAACTGTGGGAAGGGAGGACAGGCTGCCCCTGACTGGCTCCCTTTTCCCTGGGGTCACACTGTCCTGCCATGGCTCCGGACTGTGCCTGTGTACAGTCCTTGCCCCCAGTCAGGGTTCTGGGTCTTTCCTCTGGACAAACAGTGGCCTAGAAATGATCTGACCGCATAACGGGGCAACTCCCACGTGCCAGTTTCTGCTTTGTCCAGACCCTCCCTAAGCCCTGGTTTCTTCTCTGTGAGAGGGTCTCCTCGTTCGGACCTCCAGGGCTGTGGTGAGGATGAGAGTAGGTGATGGATGTGAGCACCTTTCTGTGCCCCCTTCGGGCTGGAGGGGTCGCCTGTATACAGCTCTAGTGGCTGCCAGGGCTTGGTTGGTCCTGGGCTTGTGATGCCCACCTTCTTCCCTTCTGTCTGCTCAGAACGGCTTGGACCCCACAGGTTCCCCTCCTCCAGGAAGGTGGCAGGTTACCCTGGCTGCAGGGTTGGTGTGTCAGTGCCTTGTGCCCACAGCTGTGGGGGCACCTAGGGCAGGGCTGATGGCCTGTGGATCTCTGAGCCCTCATCCCCAGTGCCGGACAGCCCCCAAGAAGGCTCGGCTATTCAGCCTCTGAGTGCAGAGAGCCCCAGCCTGGGCACCTCATGCCCGGTGCTCCCCTAGCCCCTTGCCCTTGGCTGGCAAACTCAGGAAGCCCCTGGGAGAAACACCCTCCAAGGCTGTGCAAAGAACAGATGAGGCCCCAGAATCAGTCTGAAAGGCAGCTCCAGGTCGCTATGGGTATCCCGCAGGGCTGAGCTCAGCGGCCACCCACCACCACACAGCAGTGGAGCAGGAACCGGGGAACCCAGGAGTTGGCCTGATGCCTCCCCATCCTCACCTCCTTCACGACTGAGTCTGCCCCCAAAGCCGCCCACAGGTCCCTGTTCTCCCACCCTCACTTGGCTCCCTCTAGCCCACCACTAACCCTGGTCACCATGGAGCTCTAGCTAATTGCTGTGTGATGGCACATTCCTCCCTGCAGCCTGAGAGCTCTTTAATGTATAAATCAAATCCGGTCCTTGTGCCCCCCTACCCCCATTTCTCCAGAGCTCCCCAGTGCTATTAGGAAAAAGGCCCAAATCCTTAGGGTGGCTTCTTGGCAGTCCTGTGGGTGCCCCCTGCCCACCTCTCCAGCTTCATCTTGCCCAGGCCCCAGGCTCTGCTCCAGCCACCTTCCAGTCCTGCCCCCACCCCCGCCCCACACCTCAGGTCACCTGCCTTCCTGCACAGGGCTTTTACACATGCATATTCCTCTGCCCAAAGTGCTCCTCCCTCTTCTCTGTGCTCAGACCTCAGTGGATTACTGCTTTCCCAGGGAAAGCATCCTGACATCCTCTGGTTGGGAAGTGTTCCCCATACCACCCTCCCTGGCCCCCCCTACCCCGTCAATCCAAACAGGTGTTCCTGTCAGCAAGCCTGCATCTGCTGGTGTGATTTTCTGATTGCTTCTGGCTCTCCTGCCTTCACACAGGAGGGACTTGGGTCCTTACCCTTCAGGGCTACGAGCACGCACAGACAGCGGGCTCGGCGGTGAGCCCAAGTGTGAGGTGGTGACGGCTGAGCCGCCGGTGCAGGCATGCTGCGGTGAGGGAGCGCAGAGAGTCAATATTTCCAGACCGCCTGGAAGGCGTTAGATACTGTTCTAAGCACTCAAATGTATTAACTTGTTTAATCTCTGATGAAACTGCCTTAGAAAGGTGGGGCTGTTTTTACTTTCATTTTGTGAATGACAAAACAAGAGGCTTGCTCGAGGCTGCGCAGCCAGGGAAAGTACAGAAATGGACTGGAGGTCAGGCCGTTGGCCCCCAGACCGACCACTCAGCACATCACCTCTGCCCAGGATGGGGAGGAGAGGCATTTTGTGGGGAAGGGTGTCCTGGAGGGGTCAGGGCTGGACTGGACACACACACACACACACACACACACACACACACCCATGTGGGGACACACAGTGGCGCTAGCCACCACACGGAGCCCAACAGTTAGCGTTTGCCTTGGAGCCCACGACTCAGCCTCCTGAGCCTCTCTTTGCCCATTTGTACAATGGGGGCAATGCAGCTTGGCCCCCTGGATTACTGTGAGGACACCTGGAGAGCATGGGAGTGCCTAAAACCCAGCAGAGGTTTTCTAAAATGAAATGCGAGTTGATTTTCTAAAATGAAACTGAGAGTTCATGTAGCTTCTTCAGGGGCTAGGAGGGGGGTTTCGATGGGCAGGGTGAGTCTAATGCTAATGTTGCAGTAAGGGACAGCACGTCTAGAAAACACGACTGGGCCACACAGCAGCACGCCCATCGTCCCTAAAACACTCACTCATCCGTCCATTCACTAGGGCTCCGTTAGGCTTCTTTGTTCTTATTTCCTGAGTTCACTCCTTGTCAGTCCTCACTTGGAAGGAAAATCAAAGATGCAAAAGTAAAATCTTCCCAAAGATTCCTATTACATATGGACTGAGAGGCAAATGGAGAAATATGAGGTGGGAGGGAAGATCTAACACCATATAAAGGAAGAAATACACTCATCTGTGTGATACATTTTTTTAAAAAAAAGATTTTGTTGCTAATATTTGGATTCCCACCCTCTCCTGCGCCCCTAACAAGAGGAAACAGGCCAAATCTGACAGTGATATTCATCTCTGTTATTCCCACCCCTCAAGGGAAATATGTTTATTAATGCGCCTCTTCCCTTGATAAATTACTAAATAGAAAGAAAATCCTGGCACTCATTTCCTGTGGCTTCGCCGGTGATTTATGACTGGGGACTGGCAGAACTGCGACGTCCATTCATCTGTGGGCGAGTCTGTGCTGAGTTCTGTCAGCTGCCGGGTGACCGGACACCAGCCAGCCCTCACCGGGACACACGCCACCTGCTACGACCTGCTCCCATTACTGTTGACATCTGGACCCTGCTTCATCTACTGGGTCTTTCCTCTGCTCGTGCGTGTGTTAGTTCCTTTCCCCTCAGCCCCCCTGTCAGTGTTGACAGTATGCCAGGCACGGGACTGGTCATTCGGGGGCTGCAAGCAGGGGGCCCCTCAGCCCGGGCCCCCTGGGAAGCTCACCATCCGGGGGACTGAGAAAAGTAAGTAGCCGCCGTGCTAGGAGCGCTCACTGGGTGCCTGCGCTTGCCTCAGATAAGTCCACAGGGCTCAGGGACATTGCTGCTTTCCTGGGGGCAGTCAGGAGGGGCGCGAGATTTGAAAGCGGCCTTGGACCCTGGCAGGCCACATTCTGGCCCTGCTTGACTGCTCTGACTTGGGTGGCTTTGGGCGAGCTGCTGGACCTCCCTGAGCTGGTTCCTCACCCGGAAAATGGGCCCACAGGACCCACCTCGGGGTTGTTCCAGGCTGGTGAGTGGCATACCACCCAAGCTGTGTGTGGATGTCCCGAGCACCCGGGAGCCTGGGCTGAGCACAGCAGGATGGCTGCAGGGACCCGTCTCCTCAGGTCCTGGGCAGGGAAGGCATGGCTCCAGTGACAGAGAGAGCTGCGTCCCAGGAGCCTTCTCTGGGCCAGCTGCTGTCCTGAGCGTGGGACTGGGACACGCCTCCCCTGGGGACAGCAGGACCCAGCCTTGTGGCCTGGTTTGTGGGGCTCTGAATCCTCATGGCTTCTGGAGCATTCCTGCCCAGCCATGCCCCAGCCACCATCTCCTGGACTCACTGAGGAAGTGCTCTAAGGAAATCCAGCTGGAGGACCTTAACCTGGCCCATGCTTAGCTGTCCATAACCCCTTCACCCCTTCTTATGGGGGAAATGAGAACACCTAGGTGTTGGAGCCCAGAGGCTGCCCCTTTCCTAGTTCTGTGATGCAGACAAAACTTTGGGCTCAGGGCCTCCTGGTCTCAGGACTGTGTGTGCAGGCTCATCAGACCAGCCATATATACCATTCAGCCTGGGCCTGCCCCTCCTGGCCCCATGGCCTGGTCTCTTCTGCCTCAGTCTCCCTCCTGGGCAGGCTGGGCATGGACTCCCTGCCAACTGGGGCCTCTGACAGTCCCGCCAGCAGCTCCTCCTGCCTCTCTGTGGTGTGATCAATGTAATTGGTTTCTGAAAACCCCCTTGGACCCGCAGGCAGCATAAAGAACGGGCGTCAGAACGGAGGTGACATCCAAGTCAAATTAGTGTCAATATGACAATAAAATATACAGCTCGGAGGAAATATGGGCTGTAAACAGACAACATTTCAATTGGAAACATTTCAATCTTCTCAATGTGGTGGGAGGAGGAGGGGGTGTGGCCGTGGCGGCTCCCATTCTGCCGTTAAATCACCAATATTCAACAGCATAAAACAACAAGATTCCATTTGAAGGCCCTGGTGACAGCCAGTGAATTCCCTGCCCTCCAGAGAACCAAGAGGCAGAGTGATAGCCTTGGACTCCCTGACCAGTTATCCATTACTTCCCCAAGCAGCATCACTTCCTGCTCTTCCTGCTATCAATCAGCCTCCTTTAAAAACAGGAGGCAATGGGCCTTCATTGACCACCAGGAGGCTGGGGAGCCTCCAGTGAGGGAGGGACATGGGAGATGCCCTGGGTCCTGCCCATGGCTTGACCCTGTGGCCCGGGAGGAGGGCAGGGCTTGGATCTGTACTCCAGCAAGAGCCCCATCAGAGGCCTCTCTGCACCCCCTGCCTTTCCCCCACTCCCATGGGGTTTTCCTCAACATAGGATGTGTACTTGACCCGGACGGGGTGATTTTCGGCCAGATGGAGACAGGGATGCAGACGTCTTGCTCAGATATGATCAGGCTTCTCATATGAGAAAAAAATACCAATTCTACTTTAAGATCTATTTATTGAACCCCCAAAGGCGAGTGTATTAAAAATACACCATTAAATAAAGAATCGTGCCAATGGCACTTGGCTCAGGTGAAAACGGTATTGGTGGAGGTTTGCCAGTGAGTGGGCTGGGGACACCTGCCCTGGTGGGTCAGACCTAGGTGGCTTTTCTGCACCTTCTCTGCAGGTCACCCATGCAGTCTGGCAGATCTGGCCTCCACACCCCAGCTTGACATTCAAAAAGCCTCTGGAAAGTTCTCTCTTCTTAGAACGTGAAGGGAAGGAGCTGAGAAAGGAGGCCGAGGTAGGTGGGATGGCCTGGGGATGGATATTCTTTGTCCTGCAAAGGGGAACCTTGGTGTCCCTCACACCCAGAACCATGCCCGGGACATAGGACGTGCTCAAGAAATACTCTCAGAATGAATGAGGGAGGGAGGAAGAGAGAGAAACACGGAGAGAGGGAAGGGCTAGTCTTCTCAACTTCCCACAAGCTCTGGGGCCCCCTGCCCCTACACAGAGCTTACATGTCATAACCATGTTTATGGGAGGCTTCCTAAGGTGAACACTCATGTCCTTGGAGAGTCTCAGGAGCCTTCCACAAGTGGGCTCTGAGTCTGCACAAGTTTCTCTGGGCAAGCTGGAGCAAACAGAATCTTGACGGGAGGGTCTGTCCCCAGACCCATGCAGCTGGGATGAGCAGATAGTCCCAGAGCTGGTAGGTTCTTCCTGCTCCCCAGTTTATAGGAGGGGAGAGGCTGGGGATAGCCTGATGGCAGACCTGGGCTAGGAGCCCTGGAGTCTCTTAAGGAGGCACGTGAACCCCACATCCTTATGGGCATCAGAGCCAAACAGAAATACCTCAACTATTTTTAAAAGTGGAAGCAAAGGTTCCGGGTGTAGTTCGAACCGGTTTGAAAAGAAAAACTGTATTAAGTAATGACACATACAGGAGATCATGCTGGACTCCTCTGGATTTGCTTGGATTGTAAGTGACTGGGACCCAAGGAAAAGAATCATCCATTCCTAAGATCCTTCAGGGGTTCGGAAAAATCCCCCAGCCCCACCCCATCCCTCAGCCTGCGAAACGGATCTGCCTGCTCTGGCCTGAGACGGATGCTTGCCTCTGCACCCTGGAGCCGATCGTGTTCCCAGGAGGAGAGGTGGAGAAAGGATCGTGGGTGGGTGTGATGAGTCCGACGTGAGCTGGACGCTCTCACGCCCACAGGTGAGCTCATCTCCCGTTGCTCCGGTTCAGCCCCAGATGCTGCCAAAGGCCAAGCGCCCCTGAGAACAAAGCGGCCGTGTTCCCAGCCAACTCCCCTGCTCCCTGCAAGCTGGCAGCCGCTTGCCCCAGCAAAGCGGCTTCCCCAATCAGTTAGCATCTTTCCATCCTGGGGTTTTTGGTAACTACCACTCACTGACTCGCTCACTCAGCCACTCTGCAAACACGGAGGCCTGCTCCTGGGCAGCCAAGCTCCAGGACGTGGAGGGCTACCTGCTTTGTTAACAGCACCCAGTGGGAGGGAAAGGCAGGAGTGCGAGCGGAGCTGATGCGGTTGACCTGGGGCTGGGTTTGGGTGCAGGGCGGAGCTGGGCCAGGCTGGAGGGAGCGCTTTTGCAGGCAGAAGGTGCCCGGTCGTTGTCCAGGTGGCTGCAGATAGAGCAGGGCGATGGGAGGCGGTGTGCAAGGCGGGCAAGATGAGGCTGGAGGGGAAGGCCCCCCAAGCCAGGTTATGAAGCCTGAATCTTGCCCTGAGGGTGGTGGAAGTCACAGGGGGCGCAGAATGGTGGAGGGGATGCAAGACCCCTGCTAAGCAGCGTGGAGGCTGAGGGAGCCTGAGCTGAATGGCGGTGCAGGGACGGTGACAAATCACAGGATGGCTGGGAAGGTTGACAAGCCCAATGTGGCAGGCTGGGAGCTAGGACTGATGGGAGGCATGGGGTGGTGACCAGGAGGAGTTTTGGCCCTGGGCTAAGAATGGGGTGGACAGAGACAAAAGTCCCGCTGGAGGGGAAGATGCGGAAGAGGGAAAAGCCTTCTCGAGGAAAGAGGTTGGAACAAGTACCGACTGAATGGCCACTGTGCACTGGGCAATGAGCCGAGTGCACACACACAATCTTACTTAACAGCGTGTCAAGTTCAACTGGCACGCGGGGCTGGGAATCGCTGTCCTGACACCATCCAGCACCCCCACCACCCTGGGCCAGCTCCCACAGTGGGTATGCATGCAGGGACAGTGTTGGCCTAGATGTGCCTGCGGCTTGCTACCCAAACTCCCTTCCCACGGCCACCCCTCCGGGCACCCTGCTCTGGCCCAGCTCTCAGGGCGTCAGACATCTGGTGCTACGGGGCTTGAAACCCCAACTCACAGCCTGGGCAACTCACTTGCCACCCCCCTCCAAGTTTGCTCATCTCAACTTAGAGATTGGAATTCCAGGCTCAGAAGGTGGCTGAGGGGAGTCAGAGAAGAGAATGCATGGAAAGGCACCAGGTAGAGACGGTTCTCACACAGGCACACAGCAAGTGCTCATGTCTGCCTCTGGGGACACCTGCCTGACCAGATCCCTGGGCCACAGTTTCGCTGTGTCTGCCCACTGCCCCCCTGGCCTGGTGCCAGCCACCCGGAGGCCTCGGGAGGTAGGCCCTGCATGGGAGGACGGGACATTTGGACGTGGCTGTTTGAGCACTATAGTGAACCTGTTGTCTGGGTTCTAATTTGGGTAAGTGGCGTATACATACAACTTCAGCAGCCGCTGACAGCCCACCCAACTCCCTTCGGGGAACAGCGAGGGCCCTTGAGAGGACCAGGGCGTGGGGTGTGTGTGCTCCGGGAGCCAGGCCTTATCTCACACTCCACACTTGTGCATATTCCCGGACTGAACTCTATCCCGGGGAAGGCACAGGGGCGGGACAGACCCGGGGATCGGATTCTGATGGCACTCCCTGGGGCATGATGAGGGTGACAAGGGATGAGAGCAGTGTGGGGAGGACCCCAGTGCTCTTCCCCAGTAGACAGAGGAAGGGAAGGCTCAAGCGGGGTCCAGACACCAAGCAAGGTGGCTCTTGCAGGTGTGGGGTGAGAAGGGCAGACAGAGACAAGAAGGATCCAGAGGGCAGGAGAGGGAGAGGGCATCTGAGGAGATGTCCCAGAGAAGGTAAAATCTTATTCAGGTCTGAGGAAGTTGGGGGAGGCTTGGCTCTGCCCCAGCCAATAAGGTAGAGCTGCAGGGCACGAGGTGGACAGGAAGTCCTGGGGGACAGGAGGAGGCTGAGGGGTGCAGGGGTGTACCCTGAGCCATGTAGCCTGACAGGGACCAGGACTTCCCTCTGGAGGCCATCCTACCTCAGGCTTGGGTGCTCCTTACCATTACAGAGTGGGAAGGCCCTCCTGGGGGGTGCGGCTGGAGGGGGATAAATCAGCCAAAGCTGCCTGCCTGCCCCCTGCTGGGATCCTAGTTCCATGGCCTGGCCTGGATCTCTGGGTATCTCTGGGCCAGGCTCCTGCAACAGCAGGTGGAGTGGCACTGACTGGGGGAGGCGGGCACTTAGCCTTTCCCCACTCCTCTCCTCCAAGTGGGTGGCTCCATGCCGACCCCAGGGGCTCATGGTCAGGGGGCCATGGGCACCCCTGTGAAATTAGGATATTATTTGTTGGGAGGGGAAGCTTTGGTATATTATGGGTAAGAAGAACTTTATCTACCCAGACCACTGGATCTCCCTCCTGCCAATGGGCCCTGCTTGTAGACTCCAGCTCCATCACTGACAATCATCCCCTACTTGCCCAGGCCCAAGCCCAAGCCCAAGCCCCTGGTGTTATCCCTGATGCCTTTCTTTCCTCCTAACTCCTCACCCGCTCTGGAAACAAATCTTGTGGCTTTATCTAAAATGTGATCCCTTCTCCACCCCACCTCTACTAACTGGACCCCTGCTTCCACCTTGCCCCTAAACCTATTCTCAGGTCAGTAGCCACAATAGGATTCTTTTTCAGAATAAGTCAGATCTCATTACTCCTCTGTCCAAGCCCCTCCGAGGGCCCCATCATGCTCAATCCAAACAAAGCCTGACCAAACCCTGACCAGCCTGCACAACCAGCCCTGGAACTCTGGCCCCACCCTACTCCTGCCCCTCACTCACCGGATGCCAGGCACGCTGGCCTCCTGGGTTTTTCTGGAGCTCAGAGGGCATACTGCTGCCTCAGGCCCTTTGCGCTTTCTACTCCCCCTGGCTAGACCCTTTATCCCGCGTATTTCTGTACTGTTCACCTCCTCCAAGTCTTTGCGTGAATATCATTTTCCCAGGGAGGATTTCTCAATTTCTTTATTCAAGACTTCACCCCCCACTCCACCTGGAGCTTCCTACCCCATTCTTGGCTTTGTTTGTCTCTCCCTACTGCTCTGTAAGTTCCATGAAAACCGAGATGAGCGTGTTTTGTTCCTGAGGCTGCAAATCCCAAAACATGTCCTGGCCTGCAGTGACTCACTGTTTGTGGGAATTGGTCAGACTCGGTCGCCTGTGGACAGCAGTCATGGCAGGGATTCCCAGATCCCCCGTCAGGGCTCCTTGCCTACGAAAGGAGCAGCAGGGACCCTCCTCTGTCCCCATCTCTTGTCCTGCTCCCTACCCCCATGTGGGCCCGACACTCACCATCCACTGGATTGAGGTAGTCGTGGAGATGGGGTGCACTGGCGGCACCCCCACTCTGCATCAGCAGGTCCCCGTAGGGTGCAGGGTGGCCTGCCATGAGGGTCATCTGGTGGTAATAGTCTGAGGGGTTGGTGCCTGGTGCGGGGAGGCCAAACAGCCCCCTCTCCTTGAGGTGCTCGTGAGCCACTGTGCACAGCAGGGAGGGAGAGAGAGAGAAGCCGTCAGGTTGTGGCCCCAAAATGAGAGAAACACGCACATGGCCTGAGTAGTTGTGTGCCCCCCCTGCCCCCCACTCCAGGGCCTGCTGGTCTGTCCTCTGCCCCTAGGTTCCCTCCCCGCACTGAGCAGACAATGTGTGTGGGGGGTGGTGTTTCTGCTGATGGGGAGTCAGAGCCCGAATACCTCTACTTCCTCAAAGCCTTAGACAAGTGCTCCCTCCTTCCCCTTCAGGCCCCACAAGGGCCCAGAGCTGCAGGCCCACAGGGCCCAGAGGCCAGCAGAGTCTTCAAAGGAAAAGAAAGACTCAAACAAAGGCTCTGTGGTGGTCAACGTTCGGGCCAGGTCAGTCTGACCTGAACATTCAAGGTAAGATTGTGGGGACCTGACCAGATAAATCTTCTGGCCTGGCCTGGCCAGCAGCTGCAGAACCCAGGGCTGTCCGTCTCCAACCTTGCACCCGGCCCTGTCTGGGGCTCAGCCGGGAGGCAGGGAGGAGGAACTTGGGATAATCTGGAGGGTCCCTGGCGCTGGGGGGTGGGCCTTGGAACCCAACAAACCCATTGAGCGGCCTGGCTTTTACCAGCTCTGCAAAACTGGGTAGGGGCTCAGTTTTCCATCCATAAAATGGGGAGAAGTATCCTCGCTACTTAAGTTACCATGAGAAATTAGGGTGATAGTCAGTGTCATGCTGGGCACTTGCTGGGCCTTTGTAGGCACAGTGCTGAGGGCCTCACATTCATTCTCATGGCCACTGTCCCCACACGCCCTGAGCGGAGGGCCACCATTATTGTCCTCCAACGGCAGATGAGGACTCTGGTGCTCTCTGCTATTAGTCTTGGCAAACAGCAAAGATCTCATCCACTCTGGGCAGAGAGAAGCCTGTGAATGGAAGCCGCCACCCCTTCCCCACCCTCCTTCTCCTCCTCCCCTTCTCCTGCTATATCCACTAGAGAGAGTCCCCACCTGCAGCCAGGGTGATGTCCCCATGGCCTCTTCCTGCCCTGTCCACGCCTGAAATGCCTTTCTGTCCCCCTCTTCCTGAATGTCCACCTCCTCTCTGAAAGCTTCCCTGGAGTGCCCATTGGTCCTCAGCACACACAGGGTCTGGCAGACATGGCCGCTGACGGCTGGTGAACTTGGGCCTCACGTGCGCAGGTGCTGGGGCGGGCACAGCTGCGGTGCGAGCCCGACACGCTGTCTCTACCCACTTGGGGGCTTGGTTCAGGGCCAGTGAGGTCTCTGGGCAACAGGTCCACCCCCTGTGGTCAGGGCCTTGCACATTAGCTGAGTGCCCTCTAATGCTGAACCCAGGCCTGCTAGCCCAAAGGGCTGGGGCTGGGATAAATGTGGGTGAGAGGAGCCCCAGCAATGTTTCTATGGAAATCAGGCACAGAATCAGGGCTCCACAAATGCAGATCTTTTCTTCAAGGGCTGCACCACCGGCAGCTGAAACCATAGCATCCTTGTCTTCTAGAGACCTCTCTCAGGGTCCTCTGACCACCGCCTCGGGAGGACTGCCACGTCCTGCCTGTTCCTCCTCCACAGGAACCCTGTCACCGTGAGTATTAGTTTCCTAACTTGCTGTAACGAGTTAGGACAGACATGTGATGCTCACTGCTGTTGAAACAGCAGAATTTCGTCCTCTCCCAGGTTGGAGACATGCCACTTCAAGGCGTCACCGGGGCCACGCTCCCTCCAGAGGCTCTAGGGGGTCATCGGTCCCATGCTCCTTCCAGCACCTAGAGCTTGCCAGCCTCCTTGGCCTGCGGCCACATCACTTCCATCTTTGGTTCATTCTCTCGTCTATGTCTCTTGCGAGGATACTTATCATTGCATTTAAGGCCCACGTGGACATTCCAGGATGTTCTTGTTTCAAAATCCCCAACTAAATCACATCTGCAAAGGCCTTTTTTTCAAAGGAGGCCACTTTCTCGGTTCGGGGGACAAGGGCGTGGACACACCTTTTCCCGGGGGCAGGTGGCCTCCAGCCCAGGACACCATGAACAAGCTTCAAGGTCAGGGCAGCATGGGGAACCTGGTCTGCCGGCACTGGCTGGGTCATCAGGAGAGGTGTAGAAAAGCCTAGCCCACCATCTGGAGCTGGTGGCTCTGCGTGGAGGTGGCATGATCTTTCAGGGCACCAGCACTCGGCCAAGGCCACTTGGAAAACCCACTCAGATTTCAGGACGGTGAACCCAATGCTTTGGGAGACATTCTGTCCATTTGGAGTCCTTTTCCTTGGGAAACTCCAAGCTGAGCCTCTCGGGTCCAGGCCTCGGCTCCAGTTCCTGGCCATAGCCACGATGTGGGGGAGGGCACATTCCCCCTGGCAAGGACTAGAGGTAGTGACAAGGGACCCACTGGGATTGTGTTTCCCGGAGCCTCAGCCCACGGTCCCCGGAGTGCAAAAGTCTTCTAGAATGGTCTGAACCAAGAGGCATGGTTTCAGTGGGCAGACTGAGAGGCTACACCCTGGTTGCTTTTAGAAATGGCACCAGAAAGTGGCTACCGGGCACTGTGCAGGGTAGCACGGGACAGAGGGCTGGGGGCATTTCCCAGGAAGGCAGGACGGGCATGGCCAGCACCCGAATGTGCTCACTACCGTCCAGTATGAGTGTGCACATGTGTGCGTGTGTGTGTTCGTATACGTGTACCGGTGAGGTGGGGATGGGGAGGGAAGTATTAGATTTTTTTTTTTTGAAGTATTAAATTTCAGACCTGAAAACCCTATTTGTATTACGTGAACTGCCCTTCCTCGTCTCAAGTTAAGTGGATTGGGGTAGCCATCTGATCTTCAAGCTGGGCCAATCAATTCTCTCTCGAGCATCTGAGCTGAGAGACCCAACACCACTGGGGCTCATCCGAGGAGCCTTGGGGTGCCATTTGGAGGCCACGTGTTGACCTTGGGGCGCATAAAGCAGAGATGCAGGCAGAAACCAGCCCAGCTCTGCATTCCTGCTGCTCTGGGGACCTGGGCAATGCCTCGATCCAGCACCGCCTTTCCTTCACCAGAAGCAGATTTTGGTTTATTGAGACCAAAGAATTCTCGCCTAAGCTAAAACCTACATGAATAAACATACCTTATTATTATTACATATAATTTGCATGCAAAAGGGTACTTCTGAACAGCTCATTAATGAGCACAAAAACCAGTGTTCCCCGGATCCTCTTGGCTTTTCCCATTCATTTGTGGAAAAACCCATGGCTCAGGGTGGTGGGAGGAATGTCAACTTGCTCACTATCCCAGGGGACCAGGGCTGGGGGGTTGACAGCGTTACAGTTAGCGGCCCGTCCCGCCCCCCCCAAGCACCCCAAGCTCTACTCACCGTCAGCGGGGCTCAGACCCCGGGCTGCAGAGATCGCGGGGAGCGTGGGGCTGCTGTGCACGGCACGGAGGTAATGCTCCATGTGGGGGCTCACGTACGGGTGGGGGGCGTTGAAGGGGGACTCCCCAGGCCCGGCAGGGTGTGGGGAAAGCCGGATCAACGAAATGTCGGAGATAACAGGGCTGCCGCTTAGGGCAGGAGGCCTGCAGAGACAAAGGAGCGGGGTCAAAAGGCATGGCCCGGTGCAGAAGGACATGTGGGGAGACCTGCCGAGCAGTGGGCGTGGGCACCCTTCATGGAGTCTGACTTCTCACACGATAGCCAGTGCGCGCAGGCTGAAAACTCCTACGGGCTGCTGAGGCCGCCTGCCTGCCTGCCTGCGGGTCTGGTGCTGGCCATGAAGTTCGCGGCACTCACGGCTGGACTTGCGGGACGATATGCTCAGTGAGCCATGCGCGTGTGCCGAGCTGTCGCCACAGCTTTCCCAGCGCCTGCACAAGACTGGACTAACGGTGGCAACACAAACCTTTGTTAATGAACAGGTGCATGCGTTCTACATGAACGAAAACCAGAAAACACTAGTACCAGTGTTGAAGGGCAAACAGTGTGTATTCCTAACAGAATGGAGAGAAGGAGAGGGATTGGGAGAGGCCTCCAAAGGAGAGAATTTGGGGTTTAGTTGGGCAGTCGCCGCCCCGTGGAGCACCCGCCATGAGACCGGCTGGGAACAAGCAGAGGAGGTTTCAAGAAGAGTTCTCAAATGATGAGCCATAATTCTAGAATATCCTTTTAGCTCTCCTTACATAGGATTCCCTTTAATGCTAACAGAGCCTTCCTTCTCAGATACCCATCAGCAGTCAGGCACACACTTGGCCTAGACCCTGTGGCTCGGGCTGGCGTGGCTGCGACCCACCCCCACGTCCCCTGCCCAGCCTCCAAGGGGACACTGGCTGCACTCAACTCCATGATGGGGACCCTCTCGTTCGGAGGCTCCGAGCAGCTATTAGCATGTTAGCGCCAGGGCGTTCTGAAGTCGTCTACCCCAAGAGCTGCCCATTAAAGAAAAATCAGGGTTTAGAGGAAAAGTAACTACGAAACCACAGCTAAATCACTGGGGGCCAAGTTCACCGAGATGTGATTTTCACTTTTTCAGAAAACAGGGTCTCTCCATGATCTGATGTAGTGCCAAGAAGAGAGTTTCAGATGGACCTGCGTGAGGATCCCAGTCGTTAACAGCCCAGGCATGCTGAGCACGCCTTGAACCCCTGCGAGTCTCAGTTTTTTCAACTGTAAAATGGAGATAATAGTGCCCTTTTCCTGTGGCTGCCTTGAGGATGAAAGTCCCCCCAAATCCAGCTGTCCGTTCATAGCTGAGAGCCATTATTACGGCATTAGTGCCATACTCGGAGGGCAAAACCCAGATGTGCCCGGGAGGCTCTCCCTGCCTCCCCCTCCATGGGATTGACTTCGGATATGAGCAAAGGCATCGTTAGAATACATCAGAGCGGGGATGGTTGGAGCGAACCAGAGAGCATTCCTGCTTATGGGGGAGAATGCGCGAAACCCGTGCCTGCCACATGGGGCGCACCGGGACCCAAACAGGTGACATCCAGATGTCTCCACATCTGGGTTTCCCAAACTCCCGGCTTGGAGGATGTGAGCATTCTGCTACATTTCTTTCTCGCTTTTGCAGATGTGACTGCAATGGGCGTGCACATCCAATGAGCCCGCCAAAGCAGTGGGGAAGAGCTGCCCGGTGGGCTCGTCGGATCTGCACGCCCACTGCATCCCAGGTAACTGGATTCTGTCTGAGGCTCCTCTACATGCTAACACCTGGCAAGTAGTGAACTAGCATCCCCCAGAGGGATTTTCAAGAGCCATGATGGCCACACATCTGTTTCCAGGCACTGAGCTTGGCAGGAGGGAGCCTCTGGGATAAGTCACGCATCACAGCCTCAAGCTGCTCTCACTCACAGGCTGCCTTCCGAGGCCAGCCCACCCGAGACGGAACTGCATTCAGGGCAAAGGGCTTCGGGACGGCTCTGCTCTAGGCAGGGGCGCTATGTGTCCAAGGGTGGTGGGTGGGGTGGGGGGACAGAACAAGACTAACTCACCCTTCTCACCAAGGGTCTGTCTCGCTACCTTGGGCATGCTGGTCGGGGCAGGATGGACACTCACAGTCCTGCAACAGGACAGTGTTCTATGAAGACAACACTCAGAGAATCTCCCCAGGGGACTGGGACTGTGGGGCAGGGAGGAGACTTCTGTCTGACTCCTGGGCCCAGATCTGGGATTGAAGGAAAGAGTTCTAGAAGGCTGAGCAACTGCAGTAAGCACAGGGTGTTCTGGAGAGCAGTGGGAGGCACCTGTTGTCCTCAGATCCCTTAGTCCTCCCTCAAACTCGCAAGGCAGGTTAGGTTCCCAGAACCTGCAGGACACCGGCTACGGTTGAGGTCATAGCGGCCTGTGGTTACTGAAGCTGGTGGCCCTAAGTGGCTAGGGCACACTGACAATAGCTGAGGCCTCATGAGACAAACCAGTGACTACACAGGGAGCTAAAGGAACACATTTAGGGCATACATAAGCCCTGGTCTGTCCAAGGTGACGCCCATTCCACTGGCCAGATGAGTGTCCAAAGCAGGAGTCTTGAGATGTGTTGTCATGGCAACAAACACACCACCACGGGGGAGGGGGGCTGCCCTGGCCTGCCCTGGCCGGGGCTGGAGTCCTGCCCAACCTAGCGGTTGAGCCTGGAGGTCCCCATATGGAGGAACTGGACGTCTGTCTTCATACCTCAGTTATCACCCTTCAGGGGAGAGTGAACTCTGTGGCTCTCTTCCCACCACAGGTCACCAAGGGAATAGGGAACTCATTCTTCCAGGGTAGCCTGGGCCCTGACTCGGGCCCTGGGCTCAGAGGGGAGCCTCTGGAGCTCCCGGCAGGGGTGTCTAGCCAGCCTCGAAGGAATCATGGGCTGTGTGCTCTCCTGGAAAGTTTGTGAAAACGCTGACCCCAGCAATCACCCAGAAGGACTCTAGGTCCGAGAGGGAAGTTACCCCTCCATGCAGTGCGGCCAGAGAGAGACGTAGGTCAAGACAGCCCGAGCCTGCCTCATTCCCAGGCTGGTGCTCCCCTCTTGCCAGAAGCCGCCCCACCCCCACAGAGAACACTGCAGAGGCTTCCCTGTTTCCCTGGGCAAGTTGCTGAGAGAGGCCACCGCCTCCCGAGCAGATTCAATGGGGTTCGCTGTTGAGACAGCTGGGCTCCCAGGACGGACTGAAGAACACATGCAACACCCCCTTGCCTTTCCCAGGGCCAGGAACGCGGTCACTGGTAGGCTTGGGAGCTGTGGGAGCGAGGCTGGTAGAGCCTCCAGCGGAGGCACAATCAAATGTTCTTCTTTTATAGGCAGAGCAGGACTGGATTCTGGAGGCCGTATGGGGACCCAGGGCCCGGAAGCAGTGCGGCAGGACTGGCATCTGGGCACCGCCTGTGCCTTTGAAAGCACCGTTCTCTCGCGAACCCTGATCTTTCCCACCTAGCTGGGTGGCCTCGGCCAGCATGCTGTTCTTCTCTGGTGCCTCCCAGGGTGCGGCACATGAGGGGGGTTAGCAAGCATGAACCCCCTTCGCTTCCCTTCTCTGCAACAAGTCAGCTTGGGTGTGTAGCATCTACTGACCTGAACCCCCAGTACCCAGGACAACAGGTGCCTCGGCCATCACAGCCGTGATGACTATCCAGATACTTCCTCCGGGAAGGCTCCCTAGATGTCCCCTCTGCACAGTGCTACTGAGTTGTGCCCTTACCTGGCATCTCATGATAGGGCTGACGGCATGCCAGCTATCACAGACATCAGGCATGTGTTTCCTTTTGTAATCACAATAAAAAAGTCACCAGGGACGCACTTCATGCCCATTTTACAGATGAGGACAGAGCCAGTGATGCTAGGTCCCTCCTTGCTCAAGGGCACTCAGATAGCAGGTAATGGGACCACAACCAACCAAGGTGGGTCTGGGCCCCAGCCTGTGCTGTGCCTGTTCCCTCGTCAGATAAGTGGGTGCCCCTGTTGACTGTGGTTTTCTGTGAACAGGGCTGGGGGCAGGAGTGCAAGGTCAGGCAAGGGCAGCACCTGAGAGCAGAACAGCTTTCTCCCTGCTCTGTTTCATGTTACTTTTCTGCCTTCCTTTCCACTCCAGCTCCATCACCATGCCCAAGCCAATCCAGCTCTCAGGAGGGAGTTGGAACCTCTCCCTCCCGCTGTGTTGTTAATGACCAATAAGGATCCAGGGGGCCCAAGTGTTCCAAAAGGTTGTCATTGTGACAGACTAAATGAAGCAAAAGGAATGAATCTCAAAGTGCAGAATTCCAAACATCATTAATGCAAGTGGGGGAACAGGGAGCTCCCTAGCAGCCCCGACAATCACGCCAACATGCCAGTGTTTAAGGGAGGTCCTTCAAGGAACAGGGGCCGACCCCCAGCTACCACTTTCTTTTCTTCTTGCATGTCCACACCATTGGTTGTGGGGACCCAACCCAGGTCTCAGCATAGCCTGTCCCAGCCTTGAATTCTGGCAACCGGGCAGAGACTCAAAGAGGTAACCTTGAGGGTGAGAGGAGGGGCCGATTGCGTGAGCTCATTTTAAAAGATGGTCACGTTCTCCTTTGTTGTATGTATGCACACTCACACACCTGCCGGCTGCCATCAGCGGGACTGGCCAAGCCAGCCTTGCTGCCAGCTGCTCCCCTTGGACGTCACTCTTATGTATTGCTTTCTCCCCCGCGGTCCAGTTCTGAGCTCATCTGAACCTGATTCTACCATTGTTGGTCTGTTTGTTCATATTCCGGACAATTGTCCTGGGCACTTGCTCTGTGCCCAGGATCTGTAGAGAGCTTGAAGCTCAAATGGAAAGGGCAGACCCACAAGTCAGGTAAGCATCAGGCAGTGTGATAAAGGCCCCAGCAGAGGAAAAAAAAAATCACCTAACTCTGCGTGTAAGCATAAGGGAAGGCTTCTCAGAGGAGGTGACATTTGGGCTGGGTTCTGAAGGATCAATAGGAGTTCGTGAGAAAGCGCATGACACAAAGGAAGGAAGCAGCATGCACAAAGAAAGGCTGACATATAAGGATATGTACATGCAAAGGCTATGCCTGGATGGGGAAGCAGAGCACTTGGGGCTGGATCTATACTGGACCTACTTCATTT